TGAATCCATTACTATTGTAACAATATAATTCTACTATTAAATTGTTTTTATTAAATTTATAAAGACACCAATGTTTTACTATTTAATAAACTTTTAAAGTACCTACCTAATATACTACACAATAAATATAACTCCTCGAATATGCACTACCATACTACCAAATTGTAAGGCACAAACATGAACACCTACTCGTTTATCAGAAAAGATCACTTATACAAAAAACTGTTTATAAAATATAAAATAATTATCGTAAATAGTTAAAGCGATACAAATCTAACTTCGTCGAAAGTTAGTTTTCAACTGTCTTTGTGCCTGTGCTGACAAAATTCAATCTGTAACCCGTCTGTCGTTTATTTACTTGAAACACATTCATTTGTCATCGCCTCCAAATATTAGGGCATCATCTTACAAAATTTTACTATCTATTGAAGAGATAAAACTGATTTCAACTGATTTAGCGGTTTTGACTCTTTACCTGATCCAAACATGGACGGACTTCTTTGTCTGTCTAACTAAATGAATGTAACGATCAACGAAATTGCCAAGAACGGAGATGACACGTTTTTAAAAGCGGTGTTTTTAAAACCATTAAATACAGATAACGAAGTCATTAGGGAATAAATATATTCATTTCTTGAAAACTATCAAAAACGTATATTTAATGCATCATCTTTGTTTAAATAAAGATGTTGACAAACAAATTTAATAAAGTTTACTAACAAATACCTAATAAATAATAAATAATTATTTGGTATTTGATACGCCGCCTATGCTGACTCTGTTACTTTCCGGCTAAAATTTAGTGGGCTGCCGACATTCGCCTGGGCGGACATGCCCTACCTATATGCCGAAGCTTCACCCGTATGTCGGGCCGAGTCCGGCATTTGGCAAGCCTCCTTCAGCCCAGTTACGGCGCCGATAAACTGTGTTTATTGGGTACCTTTAAGTCAGACATTTGTAAGTAGCTATTTAAAATGTCAGTGCCTATAAATTTCCTTTTAAATGTTTTATGTAATACTATCAACTTTTAAAAAATATTCGAATCTCATATTGCTCTTATATTATTTTTATTTTTGTCTTTCATGCATTTTAAATATTTATACTAGAATATTAAAAACCATAAATTCTATCAAATATACTTAGGATTACTTATTTAATAAAGATTTTTTACTATTTATTATTTTTATATTCTATATTTTCAGTCATCAATAAATAAAAGTGTATTTTTGTATTTTAGAATTATTTCACAGTTCTAAGTAATTATTCTTGTAGCTTATTTTAGTTAGTGTCTTTTTACACAATAAAGTACTGCATACTAATTTGGAGCCTAGAAATAAAAAAACTTGCCCAAACACTTAATCGATTTCGAATTCCTATCGGTTAGCAATATTCGAACTACCCCAAGTAATTTGAATAATCGGATTCGTCGAATATTTTAATTGGAATTCATCCATCACTAATGGCCCTATAATGTACCGTAGAATGCTTCAGATCGATCGATATTTTCTCATTTTCCGGGTAACTCTGAGTATTAAAACTTTACATGGAAGCGGATACGCAAAACTTTCGCTAATTCCTATGGGGGATTTATTAAAATGAAGATTTATGATTCCTAAATAATAAAAAATATTTTTCTTTGTCTTCTACCGTAGAAAAAAATTAAAATATATTTATTGAAATAGGTAACCCTAAAATACAAACAATTTTTTTGTTACAAAACAACAACTCAAATTCAAAATACAAAAATCAGGAAAAAAAAAATTACAATTTATGACTGAACAAAACAGAAAAACTATTAAAGTCCAAAATATATATAAAAAAAAAAATATATATAAAAGTTCCAAATACAAAATATACATATTAATACAATTAAATAAAAATTTTTAAAAGAAATTTGCACATCTAATCTACTTTACACTAATTTCTTCAATCATAAACATGTTTTATCATTTTCTTTTTAAAAACTGTTACTGACGATCTAGCTTTAATACCAAACGGCAATTTATTGTAATGGTCAAAGCATTTAAAAAATAAGGAATTTACTGTTATTTCTGGTAAAGTAGTTATGAATATGATTGTTAAAATTAATATATTCTCGAAAATAAGGTGGAGCCAAACCATTTAATATTTTATATACAAACACCATAGTCAAATAGTATGATCTCTGATAAACCGAAATCCATTGCAGTGATCTATGCATGGTAGATATAGGAGTATATTTGCTACACCTCAATATAATCCTCATACCACGATTTTGCAGTTTTTTAACTGTGTCGTTTGGTTTAAGTTGAAAAGGAAGATAACCGATGAAAAATAATCAAAATGTGGTTGAATAATTGAGCAATAAACTGTAATTTTAGTTTCAGCTGTTTTTTGATATTCTTGTAAAGAAGTAAAGTTTCTTCGATATTTTTTTTAAATATAATTAAAATGTTCACTAAACAATAAAAAATTGTCATGTTGAAAGCCAAGGTATTTAGTAGATGTTACAATATCAATTTCTCATCGTTAATTGTAAGATTAATTGCATCTATATTGGTATATTTATATTTAGTAGTTATTATCATAGCTTTAGTTTTTAATACGTTAAGTTTATTATACATTAAATAATTATTGGCAAAGTTTAGAGTCCGATTCATTTTTTGTACCGCATTTTCCAAATTATTATCATAACAAGCCATTAAAGAATCATCTGCAAATATATTTATTAAATCACAATCAACAAGGAGGTTTAAATCATTTATATACAAGATAAATAAAAGTGGCCCCAGAACGCTACCTTGGGGTACACTAATGTTAATATCCTTTTCAGCAGATATATTATTATTAACTTTTACTCTTTGTTTTCTTCCAAATAAGTAATAAGTAAACCAATTCAAAACACAATGCCATATCCAGTAAGTTTCTTTAAGATAATATTGCGATCTATTGTTTCAAATGATCTCTTTAAGTCTAGAAAAACTGCTACTATATAGTTATTATTGTCTACCTCCGTTTTAAATTTATATAAGGAGAGTTGCAGAGCTGCTTCACAAGAGTGTTTTTTGCAAAATTCAGATTGGTTAATAAATAAAATATAATTGTGTTCAATATGTTGAAGAGTTTGTTCATATACAACTGATTCAAGCACTTTTTTTATAGGTGGCAAAGTATTTATAGGTCGGAATTCCGAAGCATTTATTGCATTACTTACTTTAGGAATTGGAACTATTGTACTTATTTTTATTGAATCTGGTACTGTTGCAGTCTGAAGAGAAGTATTAATTAGATTTAAGATAACATGACCACACGTTTCAAATACTTCTTTCAACATTTTGGAATTAAGGATTTCATAAATAGTACATTTATTGTCCAACGACTTTACAATTACTCTTAATTCACTCAATGACAACAACCGAAAATTTGAAAATTGAGGATATACAGGGTGTTTCCGAACTTGGCGTCCAAATTTGTAGGGGTGGTAGTTCGCATAATTTGAGACCCATTCGCAGATTTCATTTTTCCAAAATATTTAAAATTAAAATAATTAAAAATTAATTAAAAATTTTAAACAGGTACGGTCCTGCAAATCGCATCTGTTTTTGAGTTTTAAATCCCGATGAGTAACCGATCAAGCGACTATTGCGCTACGCGCTCAGGGTAGAACCCGCTCTTTGATTTTTTTTATAATGGCTCTATTTTGTTTATTATAATTTTTTTAGAAAAATGAAATCTGCCAATCGCTCTCAAATTATGCGAACTACCACCCCTACAAATTTGAACGCCAAATTCGGAAACACCCTGTATATTATAATTACAAAAATTTCCTATTATTTCAGTAAAGATGCTATCAACTATTTGAGTAATGCTACCTATAAAAAATATATTAAATTTACTTGCAATTTCAGTAACATTATGTTCGATTTGGCGTTCATTGTTTAAATTAAATTCAATAAAATTTGGAAAATTTTGACTGTTAGTATTAATTAACTTTTTAAGAGTCTTCCACATTAGTCGAGAATTATTTTTATACCTATCAATTTTATTAAAATAATATTGTTCTTTTTTTATTTTTAGTAAATTTACAACTTTATTCCTCAATTTTTTAAATGCTCCCCAGTTTTTATTTTTATCAGCACCAGAAGTGGTCTGAAATTCTTTATACATTTTATCCCTATCCTTTATTTTATATTGAATGTCATTATCAAACCATGGAACATTACTTTTATACTGGCAAACTTGTATAGGCGCTATATTATTTATTACCGTTTGACAGTAGTTATAGTTGATTCAAAAATAACAAGAGACTTAGAAATAAGAGACAAATTTCGTAAATATTTAAAAAATGTAAAGCAAATATATTCACAAAAATACATATAAATATTGTATATGATAGATTATTTTTGTTATATAGCATATCCATCCATGTCTTTAACTCTTCCCAAAACAAACAAGTATTCAAGAAAATGGTGAAACGATTTAGTGATTAATCAAAAACTTTAATCCTAAACGTAGCTTCCTATTTTAAGAGACACAAATCTGTTTGCGAGACTCTTGGAAAGAGATACAATCAAATGGCTGCAGAGGCATAACATATTTTGCAGAAAACCATCTATGGATTTAATATCTCAACAAATTCTGATACAGAGTATGTAAAAATAATGTCCAAAAAAGTAAGCCAAAGTAAAACAAAAGTCAATTCTTTAATATTAAGTAAGTTGATGCAAGTATACAATGAAATCGTTTCATAAATGATTTTCGGAAGAAATACCTGATGTTCTGCACGGTCAATTAAAACATGGAATCGAAAAATTGGCTTTCCCTTTAAAAGCGATTCAGTTAAAAAAATGTCGTTTTTGAAAAATTTTAAAGAGGAGATAGAGCTGGGTAACTTTGAGCCTTTATTATATGCTAAGGCGGCCAAATATTTGACAGACAGAAGGTCTGCAATCAAATTGGGTAAAGTTGATGCCACCGAAGAGCAAAAATTGACAGAATAATTTGGAATCAGAGGTGATCCCACCTTGAAGGTTCGCCTACTAAATATTCAGGAGGAAGATAAGCTAACGACATCGTCAACTGGCTGTTGAAAAAAACCGATCCACCGGCCAAAGACGTTTCTTCCGTAGACGCTGCCAAAGAGTTTATCGATGCCAATAACGTCGTCGTCCTAGGTTTCTTAAAGATCAAACCACCGAAGCCGCCAAGGCTTTCTTGGACATTCCGTCCGGGATCACCGATGACGAGCCAATTTTCAAAAAGTACGATGCTAAAGATGATTCCGTAGTTTTGTTCAAAAAGTTCAACGGAGGTATAGTCGTCTACGATGGCAAACCGGACGAAGTCGAATTCAGGAAATTCGTTCAATCCAACGCTCTTCCGCTTCTCGTCGAATTCAACCACGATACCGCTCAAAATATTTTCGGCATGGAAATCAAGAGCCAGATCCGTCGTCAAACCGTACAAAGAAAAGGTCCTGTTCATCACCATCGACGCCGAAGAGGAGTACCTTCAAATAATCCTCGAATTCTTCGGCATGAGCAAGAAGGAAGTACCGGCCGCGCGTTTGATCAATTGGAAGAGGACATGGCCAAGTACAAGCCGTCTACTGATGATTGGACGCGCAAGAACCTCAAGCAGTTCGTTGACGATTTCTTGGAAGTCAAATTGAAGGAACACCTTTTGAGCCAAGAGTTGCCCGAGGATTGGGACAAGGAAGATGTTAAGGTGCTGGTCGCCACCAATTTCGATACCGTCGCATTGGACACCAAGAAAAACGTTCTGGTCGAGTTCTACGCGTCCTGGTGCGGCCATTGCAAGCAACTCGTTCCCATCTACGACAAAGAGACAACGCCGACGTCATCATAGCCAAAATAGACGCGACCGTCAACGAGTTGGAGCACACCAAAGTCCCGAGCTTCCCCACCATAAAATTGTACACCAAGGGCGAGAACCAGGCTATTGAATACACTATAATACTCTTGACAGACTACTATATGAAGAGTATAAAAATTAGTCTGTTTTTTAACCTCTTCATTTTTTATGTATGTTTAGCGATTATTCTTTAACACCTTGTCCGATTTCTATGATTCTTTTTTTGTTAGTAAGGGGGTATCTCAGGGGTGGTCCCATCTAAATTTGGTTAAGATGTGGTGATGACATCTGTACGATTTTGAAGTCGGTTTTTTATAATTACTTTTAATACTTGTTCTAGTCTTGTCATTTAATTTAATTATTTACTTTTTACTCTTGTAGTTTACATGTTTTGATTTCATTTTAGCCTCCTCAGAGCAGCCGAAGAATACCACCTTCCGAAAATTCTCAAGGAAGACAAAGGCGGAGGCCTCAAAGAATTTTGTGTACAAGAACTGTCTTCCTATGAAAACTCCCACGATGAAAAGATATTTTTTACCACCGAGGAAAGACAGTGGCTGCTGCTGCACATTCTTGAAAGTATCAGAGCTAAGCCTGCCGATTTGGAAGTCATACCGGGCGTTTCTTTGATCGAGGGACAAGCTATAAGTAAGATGGACATGTATTGCTATTTTTCATCACCTTGTATATAATTGAAATTTTATAGATACAATTGTAGTTTTTTTATTTAGTTTTAAATGACATAGATTGTCCAAAAATCGTCCCGTGGATAAGTGAGATATTCGCAAAAGAAGAGTTCAAAGTAGGTCTCAAAAGTAAAAATTGTCCTAGGCCTTATTTATAAATAGAATTTAAATACTGCAAATTTTACTACTCAAACAATTTTATCTCTAAAATGTCAACGGAACGGTAGAAACGAACTCAAAAAAATTTTATACCAATATTTGCTTTGTTTTAGTTCCAAAATGTCTTACTGAAGGCATCGTGAGTCAAGTTTTTCCTTTACATGAACCAGGAGCTTTGGAAAAACTTCAAAATTCATGGGTTCGAGATATTTTTGCAAAGCAGCCTTTAGGTAAAACGGATTAAAATTTAAACAACCCATAATATTTCAGTTCTAAAGTACCTAACATATTTTGTTTTTAGATGAAATAACAGAATATTTCGGAGTAAAAATAGGGATGTATTTCGCTTGGTTGGGGCATTACACCACTGCTCTAAGTATTCCAGCAATTTTTGGTTTCATTTTTTGGGTAAGATTCCTATGTTATTAATCTTTCAGCCAAGTGTGAATTGGCCAGCACTAAATGATGTCAAATCTTAAATTTATTTTTAAAATAATTTCAGGTTTTTCAAAATCAGAATTATAGTAAATATACTTCCATTTTAAATACCATAAGAAATTCTCAGGTTCATTTTAAAGGAAATCTAGACCATAGTATATTTACTTATCAATACTTTCCCATTTTAAATAACATTTTTTGGATTTTTTAGATTTTTTGGATTTTTTTTGGATTTTTTGGATTTTTTGGATTTTTTTGGATTTTTTGGATTTTTTTGGATTTTTTGGATTTTTTGGATTTTTTGTTTTGGATTTTAATTTCCTGCGGAATGAACCTTAGAATTTCTGATAAGAAAAGTAATAATTTTGGCCCTGAACATTATTTTTTAGACTTTTTAGATGTTTTAGTTTTTTTTTAGAATTTTTGGATTCTTTTTTGATTTTTTTTTGGATTTTTCTGCATTTTTTTGGATTTTTTTTTTTTTTTTTTTTGATTTTTTGGGTTTTTTTTGGATTTTTTTAGATTTTTTTTTTGGATTTTTTTTTTGTTTTTTTTTTTGGATTTTTTTTTGGATTTTTTTTTGGATTTTTTTTTTGGATTTTTTGGATTTTTTTAGATTTTTTGGATTTTTTTAGATTTTTTGGATTTTCTTGGATTGTTTTGGATTTTTTTGAATTTTTTTGATTTTTTTTTGGATTTTTTTTTGGATTTTTTTGGATTTTTTTTGGATTTTTTTGGATTCTTTTTTATTTTTATTTCCTCCAGAATGAACCTTAGAATTTCTGATAAGAAAAGTAATAATTTTGGCCCTGAACATTATTTTTTAGACTTTTAGATGTTTTATTTTTTTTTTAGAATTTTTGGACTTTTTTTGGATTTTTTTTTTTGGATTCTTTTTTGGTTTTTAGGATTTATTTGTTTTTTTGATTTTTTGGATTTTCTTGGATCGTTTCGGATTTTTTTGAATTTTTTTTGGATTTTTTTGGATTTTTTTGGATTTTTTGGATTTTTTGGATTTTTTGTTTTGGATTTTAATTTCCTGCGGAATGAACCTTAGAATTTCTGATAAGAAAAGTAATAATTTTGGCCCTGAACATTATTTTTTAGACTTTTTAGATGTTTTAGTTTTTTTTTAGAATTTTTGGATTCTTTTTTGATTTTTTTTTGGATTTTTCTGCATTTTTTTGGATTTTTTATTTTTTTTTTTTTTGATTTTTTGGGTTTTTTTGGATTTTTTTAGATTTTTTTTTTGGATTTTTTTTTTGTTTTTTTTTTTGGATTTTTTTTTGGATTTTTTTTTGGATTTTTTTTTTGGATTTTTTGGATTTTTTTAGATTTTTTGGATTTTTTTAGATTTTTTGGATTTTCTTGGATTGTTTTGGATTTTTTTGAATTTTTTTGATTTTTTTTTGGATTTTTTTTTGGATTTTTTTGGATTTTTTTTGGATTTTTTTGGATTCTTTTTTATTTTTATTTCCTCCAGAATGAACCTTAGAATTTCTGATAAGAAAAGTAATAATTTTGGCCCTGAACATTATTTTTTAGACTTTTAGATGTTTTATTTTTTTTTTAGAATTTTTGGACTTTTTTTGGATTTTTTTTTTGGATTCTTTTTTGGTTTTTAGGATTTATTTGTTTTTTTGATTTTTTGGATTTTCTTGGATCGTTTCGGATTTTTTTGAATTTTTTTTGGATTTTTTTGGATTTTTTTGGATTTTTTTGGATTTTTTGGATTATTTTTGGGTTTTTGGATTTTCTTGAAATGTTTTGGATTTTTTGGATTTTTTTGGATTTTTTTCGATTTGTTTTGATTTTTTTTGTTTTTATTTCCTCCAGAATGAACCTTAAAATTTCTGATAAGAAAAGTAATAATTTTGCCCCTAACATTATTTTTTAGACTTTTTAGATTTTTTAGTTTTTTTAGATTTTATGGACTTTTTTGAATTTTTTTGGATTTTTTTGGATTTGTTTGGATTTTTTTTGTTTTTATTTCCTCCAGAATGAACCTTAAAATTTCTGATAAGAAAAGTAATAATTTTGCCCCTGAACATTATTTTTTAGACTTTTTAGATTTTTTAGTTTGTTTAGATTTTATGGACTTTTTTGGATTTTTTTTGGATTTTTTTGGATTTTTTTGGATTTTTTTGGATTTTTTTGGATTTTTTTGGATTTTTTTGGATTTTTTTGAATTTTTTTGATTTTTGATTTTCTTCAGAATAAATCTTAGAATTTCTGATGGAAAAAGTAATAATTTTGGCCCTGAACCGGCATAGTATATTTACTAATTACCTAAAAGATATGTTTAATCCTCGTGAATAATAGCAATCATTATATTCTATATACTTATTATGATTGCACTTTCAGTTATGTTGCAACGGAAAACATCAAACATTGGAAGACGTGGGTTATGTAATGTTTTCAATTTTCAACGTAGTGTGGGTAACCACGTACTTGCAAGCTTGGAAACGTTACTCGGCTGAACTGGCATTCCGTTGGGGCACTTTAGATCAGAGAGACAATCTTTTGGCCGAACCGAGGCCTTTATTTAGGGTAAGCGAAGATTATTAGACTATTAAAGAAAATGTAAATAATAACAAATCAAAATTGTAAATGTTAAATCGGTTTGTACATCTGCTTCGAAAATTAACAACGCAAATTGCACATTTTAATTAATTAATCGTCATTTCGAATGAATATGGTCACAATTCAAAATTTTTATTGAGACAACTATGGCCACTGATAATCATCAGTCTGGAATACACTAGAGCTATGAAGAGGAATCTAAAGATTTGGGTAGAGTAAAGAAAATGGCGAATACACTTTGGTCAGTTTTGGAATAAATAGAACTGTTTTGCTATTTGAGTCAGTTCAAGTTGAGACATCGTTGTGAGCAGATTATTATTGTCCAAATAAATTAGTAAATAAGTAAATTAGGTATAAATGTAAATATAAACTAAAATAGACTGTTCAAATAAATAAATGTTATAATTATATTGTTTTAACGTATTGGCCAATAAGAACGCAAATGTGGAATCGACACTAGTTTTTAAAGTTCTCGTTGACTGGACATAGTTTTCTTGTATTACATAAACGAGATCTTTAGAGGAGTAGGACTGTTACTCTTGCACTTTTCACGCGGGGTAGTGGCAGTGACACTTTTTTATATCAAAATATTGGAATTTGAAATTCATTTTATGTAAAATAATTTGAATTGTGACGTTATTCTTTCGAAAAATCGAATTAAAATCACTGAACATTATTTATACTTTTATAATAAATGGAAGTGGAACACAAAAAAAGCACTAAAATGTTCTATAAACTTTCTTTCCATCACGCCTCTTTTGGAGTTATTCGTATGTTTACATTATAAAAGTATAGAAATCATTATAAGCATGTTAAAAATAACTTCAACGCCGCCGTTAACCCCTATTTTGATTTGATAGTTTCAAATTATTCATATAAAGCTAATAATATTGCACATTTTGTTTGGTTTTAATAAAAAAAATTGGCAATGTGTAGATAAAACAACACAAAAAAATCGTGACTACCATTATAGTTGAATACCGAAATAATTTACAGTAATTTAGCGTATGGTCCGTTATTAACCATAATAACCAGGATTTTTTGACAGCGGTTCCTGAAAAAAACTAATTTCTTCGTTACATTTGGATCGCTGCCGAGAGCGATCTCGATGTTCTCTGAGCAGAAGGATCGAGAAGAGGAAGAAATTTGTCTTAGTCTCTACCTATCTCTTTTTAATTAACCTACAAACAAATTTGAATCTCAAAATTCGAGACCAGATAACACATACTTTGATTTTCTTTTACTATACGGAGAATGGTCGCACTGCACAGCTTTCTGAGTGCCTTTTAAAAGGAGATAGAAAACTCCGCCATTTTGAACCCTTATTACGTGTTGCCTACATCTTGGCGCAATATTTTTAATAGGTGCGTTTTAATCATCCGCTTCTGCTTCAGAATTGTCGGTTTTCTTGATTTAATCTGACAGGTTAGAACGACTGAACCCACAATTCCGGAAGCAGAAGCGGATGATTAAAACGCACCTGATATTTTGCTTGCTGCTGTCAGTGTCAGTGAATATTATTTTTGGAGTCACAGTTTATTGCTAAAGAATCAGTTGGCTCACTCGGACCAGTTGAAAGTTCCAAAATAACATCCACTCCAGGGATACAAATTCAGGATACGCAGAAGACTGCTATTTTATTATAGGCGGTTGTTATATATTGTATTATCTGAGTTACGCAGTGTATAAACTGGAACATTGAGATAAAAAGTGCCGACGCAGAGTGAGCGATCTGATTCTTTAGTTATAAACTGTGTCGGACCTCTCTCTTGCCCCGTATTGTAAAAGAAAATCAAAGTATGTGCCAGATAAGAAGTCAACAAATTACATAGCCGCTTTTGTCTTATAGCTAAAATTATTCGTCATCAAAAAATAAAACATGTGTTTGGAAAATACATTTTCTCTGCCCAGATCTAATCACAGTCATAGAGTTTGAAAGCGAAGCGGGTATTTATGGTATATGTATGCTGCATTATTAAAAGTTTTTTAATTTTCTTCACTTTTGCTCACTATTTTGACAAATAAACCAGAAATAAGAATCATAAAAAAAGCGAGGTTATTTTTTTAGTTTGTTTTATTCACATACTTTGATTACTATACGAGGCAAGAGAGAGGTCCGACACGCCCAACATAGGGCGCGGCCATTTTGAACCCTGTGACACAGTTTACAGCTAAAGAATCAGATCGCTCACCCTGCGTCGGCACTTTGGATCTCAATGTTTCAGTTTATACACTGCGCAACTCGGATAATACAATATATGACAACCGCCTATAATAAAACAGCAGTCTTCTGCGTATCCTGAATTTGTATCCCTGGAGTGGATGTTATTTTTGAACTTTCAACGGATCCGAGTGAGCTAACTGATTCTTTAGCAATAAACTATGACTCAAAAAATAATATTCACTGACACTGACAGCAGCAAGCAAAATATCAGGTGCGTTTTAATCATCCGCTTCTGCTTCCGGAATTGTCGGTTTAGTCGTTTTAACCTGTCAGATTAAAACAAGAAAACCGACAATTCCGAAGCAGAAGCGGATGATTAAAACGCACCTATTAAAAATATTGCGCCAAGATGTAGGCAACACGTAATAAGGGTTCAAAATGGCGGAGTTTTCTATCTCCTTTTAAAAGGCACTCAGAAAGCTGCGCAGTGCGACCATTCTCCGTATAGTAAAAGAAAATCAAAGTATGTGACTGACACTGACAGCAGCAAGCAAAATATCAGGTGCGTTTTAATCATCCGCTCCTGCTTCCGCAATTGTCGGTTCAGTCGTTCTAATCTGTCAGATTAAAACAAGAAAACCGACAATTCCAAAGCAGAAGCGGATGATTAAAACGCACCTATTAAAAATATTGCGCCAAGATGTAGGCAACACGTAATAAGGGTTCAAAATGGCGGAGTTTTCTATCTCCTTTTAAAAGGCACTCAGAAAGCTGCGCAGTGCGACCATTCTCCGTATAGTTAAAGAAAATCAAAGTATGTAACTGGTAGCCATTTGGACAGGTCGTTGGAACGCCTAATTAAACGCCCCTCTGATCAATGTTGCCAGATGGCAATTTCTGTCAACAGTAGGAATGTAGCTGAAATATATATGCTCGAAGAATGTAGTTAAAAAAAAAACAGGAGATTACCTTTTTCAACAGGAGATTTTAATAAATCTATTTTTTAATAGAGGAATCCAGCACAAGTATAAGAAATTACAAATATAACTGTAGGGAGTTCAATTAATATTTTTCAATTACATCCCGAACGTCACGTGATTCAGCAACTGTCAATTGTCAAAATGATAATCCCGCTGAAGCTGAAGTAAACCAACTCACCTTCTAAGTCGGTTAGTATAACAGGTTAAACAAATAAATTTTAATTCTCACATAATATTTAGGTATCTGTAGCGTGTAGAAGGTGGGTTACCCACACGGCACTCAGGCCTCATTAGGCCCATTGTACATCCTCCTAAGATGACAGGCACCTCCTAGCTCGTGAGCCAGCCTGCAGATTTAATGTAGTTGACAACGTCGCCAAGAGGTGCTTCTCTTATATCGTCCGGTGTTAGCCGATACTCGCCGAACACAAATTTTCTAATAAATGAGAGCGTCGAGCAATCGTAAAGGATATGCTCGATGGTCTCATCTTCTTGTTCGCACCCTCTGCAGAGTGCAGATTCTGTCTAGTCATAGTCAAGTATTTGTTTGCTGCAGTGTTGTCAGGATAACTTAAGAATTCCCTGGCAACTCTACAGTTTCTTGTTTTATCTCATCTTTCCTTGAATTTCACAAGGGAATGTTTTTTAATTAGGTCTGTCACTACCAACTTTGTCAGGCCAATAGAAGGGCCAGGTCCAAAAAGTATTTGGTTGGCTGCTTTCTTGGCTAGTGAATCAGCAAGACGGTTACCTTTCGATGTGGTGTGACCTTTGATCCATCTTAAGGTGACCACGTTGTTGATAGGTGTAACATATTAAAAAAAATCCATAAATACATGTAAAGGAAACAAATGCAAATTTCTTAATATTAAAATAAAATTAAATTAAAAAAGTGTCGACAGTGTCGGAGTAAAATATTTTAGTGAAAATGACTGAAATCAACAGAAGATTTCATAGAAAAAACATAAAAATAGACATTGAGGCTAAAAACATTAGATTTCATAGTGAAAACAGTAGAACAGGAGATATCCTGTTAAAACAGTGGTAACATTGCCTCTAATAGTAACCGTAAAAATATAGCGGTTAGTGAATTGACGTTTGAGTCACCATTTTCAGGTAACCGCGTCCCTAATTTAACCGATTTTTCAGGAATATCAAGCAGAGCAGTTAGTTTTGGATCGATTAACCGATATTTTGGTTAATAACGGACCATACCCTTAATGTGTGAAGAATGCTGTCATATGTCATTGCGCCAAATTTTGAACAAATTTTTGGAAGTTATTGTACAAGGGTTTTTTTAGTGGTGGGCATATATTGCAGTTGAAGAAACGTGTGGATAAATGTGTCACATCACAAAAAGATTATCTCGAGAAAAACAAGTTTAAAGTTTTAAAATTGCATTAGGATATATGGCTCATGATACCTTTCTATCTATCAAATTAGAAATCAGTGCTATCAGTAACAAAAAACATAGGTAGTATATTTTAAATATATTAGGCCATAAAAGTCACTTTTTGAAAAAATGTGACGTGACACCTTTATCCATTTGTGTCTTCTATTGCATATATGTATATGGCAGCTTTCTCAGGATTCTTCACACATTCTTGTCATTAAATTACTGTCTATTATTTCGGTACTCAACTATAGGATCACGAACTTGTGAAAGTTTTTTTAGATCTTTTCCAACAACGATCAGAAACAAATAAAAACATTATTTTAACTCTTTTAAAAGTATTCTGTTACTTGTATCCGACTACATTTTTAGGTAAACATATTCGCACTCTTCTAAAAAGTTTTTGGATACATTGTAAGTATCCATATCCGATACTGGATACTTTCTTTCTGTATCCAATCCAACTCTACAAAATAAATGCTCTTTTTGGCGTAATACTCGTAAATACATTCCACAGGTCTGGATATCTTTGCAGATTTTTGTTTTCAAGTGCCCAAATTACAAATACAAGGTGTTTCCGAACTTGGCGTCCAAATTTGTAGGGGTGGTAGTTCGCATAATTTGAGAGCGATTGGCAGATTTCATATTTTTAAAAAAAATATGAAAAACAAAATAAAGCCATTATAAAAAAATCAAAGAGCAGGTCCTACCCTGAGCGCGTAGCGCAATAGTCCTCAAAAACAGATGCGATTTGCAATTTTGTCGATTCTAAGCGTAGCTCGCGCGAGTCGAGGCGATCCTATCGCTGTGCAGGACCGTACCTGTTTATAATTTTTAATTATTTTTATTTTAAATATTTTGGAAAAATGAAATCTGCGAATCGGTCTCAAATTATACGAACTACCGCCCCTACAAATTTGAACGCCAAGTTTGGAAACACCCTGTATATTCATGAAAGTACTTAATGTGCTCTTGTTTTTTATGATTTTTAGATATCTTATAGTTTGAACAATTATCGGCTTGTTAGTAATAAAATTTATTTTCCTTGTCATGATTAGGCTTCTGTGCAACTTTTTCGCGCATACAAACATCACGTGATCCCCACTCTCAGAACCCTTGCTCCGCAGAACAGCTGAGATCTCAGTTATTTGATAATATTGAAGTACTTACACGTGAATCTGGATAAGTTGTCATGTGTTAATATTTTGTTTCAATTACTGAATGTCCACTTGTCTTGTCTTTTAAAACATGAGTTCGTTACGAAGTTATTCATTTTGTTATATTTGCGGTGTTTATATAACAAAAAAACAAAAAAGAAATATCACAGACTTTGTCAAGGAGAGTAAGAAGACTTATGCTAAATATTTCGATTTTAAAATGGACAAACTAAATAAATCATGGGCTACTCATAAAGTTTGTAAGTCCTGTGTTGAGTCTTTACGGTTGTGGAAAAAAGGAGAACGTTCTGGATTAGACTTTAGTATTCCTATGATCTGGATGGAGCCTAAGAATTATTTCGATGATTGTTACTTTTGCGTAATAGATGCTAGAGGTTTTAATCGAAATCAAACGTAGAGATATCCAGACTTACAGTCTACAAAATGTCCTATTCTACACATTGAAAATTTCCCTGGGCCTATTTACATTTCAAAAGTAGTTCGTATGTCCTCAGAAACAATGATGTTGCCAAATTCACAGAAATCAGGACAGTCTACTAGTGGAAGTGAATGGGAAGGCGAAACATCTACGCCAAAGTTATTTTCTCAAAATGAACTGTTATTTAATACGTGATCTCAATTTATCAAAACAAGGATCAGAACTGTTAGCCTTAAGATTGAAAGAAAAAATTTATTGGCACCAACAGTAACAATTACAACATACATAAAGCGAGAAAGTGAGTTATTACAATTTTTTAGTGAAAATGAAGGACTGTTGTACTGTAATGATATTGACAGTTGTAAAAGAAGTTTAAAATGCGTCTTACTACATAATATAATATAATAATTTAATAAATTTGCATCAAATTAGTTTTAGAAAAATTTAATTACTCGGAGCATCAATGGCGGATCTGTGTGGATTTGAAAATGGTTAATTTTTTACTTGGTCAACAAAGTGGATACACGAAATACCCTTGCTTTATTTGTATGTGGGACAGTAGAATAAAGCAACTTCATTGGGAACAAGATGTTTGGCCTGTAAGAAATTTTTTAACTGTCGGTAAAGCCAATGTAATAAGGGAGCCGTTGGTGAGCAGAGACAAAATCATACTTCCACATTAAATTAGGAATGATAAAGCAATTTGTAAAAGCGTTGGACAAGGAAGGAAATTGCATTTGTAGAAAATTTCCAAAGCTTAGTATGGAAAAGTTGAAAGGTGGAATATTTGATGGTCCTCAAATATGGCAATTGATAAGAGACACAGATTTTATTAAAGTTATGATTGTTGCGGAAAGTAAGGATTGGAAAAGTTTTGTGTTGGTAGTTGAAAATTTCCTAGGTAACCATAAAACACCAAATTATGAAGAAATTGTACAAAATATGCTGAAAAACTTTCAGACTCTAGGAGCAAATATAAGTATCAAATTACACTATCTCCGCAATCATCTCGATAAATTTCCGGACAATTTAGGAAATTATAGTGAGGAACAGGAAAAGCGGTTCCACCAGGATTTAAAAGTGATGGAGAAAAGGTATCAGGGTTGATGGGATTGTCACATGATGGCAGATATCTTTAAAAAGAGATTGCCCTCTGAAAAATTATAAATGAAAAGCTCATAAAAGGCGTTTTATGGAAATTAAACATATGTTTTCGACATTTTTCTCTCCCTAATGTACCCTAATTTTCCAAAACAAAACTGACATAAATAAATCTGTTATTTTGTTTCTTGTGTTCCGATTTTTATAATGTAAAATGAAAATAAAGATTTAAAAGAAAACAAGAGCAAATCTTACGAAATCATTGATAGTTTCATGAATTGTAAGCATAAATATATGCAAAATCAATCTTATATCTAGGGCAACAAAACCACTGTAGACCAGTGATTCTTGATTGTACCGGCCTCTACTTGATGAAAATTTAAATTGTTAAAATGAGAAAAACCAAACTTGGTTGATTTTCGCACACGCTTTTATTTCAAAAATTAAATATAACAATTGTTTCGAAGTACAACTTCTTCAAATGTAATAAATGAATCCACATTGCCCATTTTATCGCATTCAAAATTGCCGATTTTTTTGTTGATTTGCTTCAGTAGCGCTTATCTAGTTGAAACATGTCGATGTATCCACCAGCTGCCTCGACATGTTATTATTTGTTCGCAGGGTCCTCTAGAACGCAGTCCTGTCACCAAAAGACTGGAACCGTACCATCCGCCGTGGAAAAGGCACATTTTCCGATATTTCATATCGGTGCCGATCATAACCGTTTGTCTGATTGCTGTATTTTGTATTATGATCGTTTCCTTGCAAATCCAGGTTAGTCTTTAGGTTTGTGATGTGATTATGGTAGATCTGATATTTAAATAACACGAAATTAATAGGAAAATAAATAAAGAGTGATCCACGCATAATGTTTTTAAATTAGTCCTTTGAAAGAATTAAGGCATTTTGGATCTAACAATTCTTCTTCATTTTAAGTATCAGTTTCAGAGTTGCCGATCTTGAATTGATCTTATAGTAGATCCTTTATTTTCGGCATTATTAATTATCAAATACAAATAATTAATATTAATGCGATATAGGAAAGGCATATCGGCAAGTCGTAACAAAATTTAAATACGTGGGCGCAGTGTTACTAAGTCAAGATCAACATAAGCGGTAGAATTGTCATAAAAAAGCGGTAAATTTAAAAATAAATCGGTAGATAATAAATGCAATGTTTTAAAATTGCTGTTTTTGCGATTATAGTTAGATAATTAGGTAGTTAGGAAAAATTTAAACAGAAAAGAACAATTATAATTATTTTTGGAAAAGCAAAAATTAACATAAAAAATATGCTTGTTTTATTATTTTATAATAACTGATTTACATAAAATAAAAACAAAAATGCTTATATCTGGTCGTACCTATGTTTTACCTGACAAATAAAATATGGTACTTAACAAATATTGCAAAAAATAAAAATAATCATCTGCATGGGCGTCGTTACACAATTCTATAGGGGGGGGGGCAAATTTTTTAAAAAAATTAGAATGTTTATTTGTTGAAAAACAAAGAAAATGAAAAATAAAAAAAGAATACAAATTAACAACAGTTTCTAATAAATAAAATAACCCAACAAAAAAGACAAAAACTAAAAAAAAAAAAAAAAAACAAGAAACTTAAAACACAAATTTTTAAAAAATAAACAGAATGTGTGAAATAAAAGAAAAATATTAACAAGAAGACAGAGCCATACATAATATTTAAAAATAAAATATTTATAGAAACACAAAAACAAAAAAACTCACTCAAAGACGTTGACAATACTAGCAAAACGTACATTTTTAATTTCTTCTTCCTCTACCTAAAGTAATTGATAACAGAAAACATGAATTCTTTTTAATTTTTTGCGATTATTTTTCGATGTACGCTCATCATGCAAAGCGCAGTCAGCCTATTTTTATTATTTATTTGCTCTGTGCGTGACAGCAGCGCCAACTAATTCATGAACTAAAGGACGATATTTGCGTATACTGACAATACAATTTTTAATGAAATCCCTAATTAAAAAATATATATGTTTATTTTAGTAAAAGTATATGGATTTGTAAAACAAGTGACAAAATTATTATTATTATATATTTTTATTACTTCAGCTAAAAATAAATGTATGATATGTTGCCTAAGCCTAATAAGTTGTCATTGAAGAATAGGTTGAATAATGTAAAAATAAAAACATTACCATTATATAATAACGTAATATCAAAACGTATTAACAAAAATAATTGGTAAATTTGCGATTTTAATTTATATTTTTTTCATTTTTAATTCGAAAGAACCCATAGAAATTAATCAATAAAATTGGTTTCCTATCAATAAGTCACAAGATTGCATTTCAGCCACATACAATAATCAAAGGCAGAAATCTAATCTTTGCTGAACATTTAAAAGTTAGGGGATGTTGAACAACATTGTAAAATAATAATTTATTGTTTATTTAAACCTTTCAATTTTTTGATGTCTACTGTTTCCAGTATTACTGGAATTAAAATAGCAACTCAGGTGCGCACATTCGTTGGTTAATTTACATTGACATCTTTATAAAACAAAAGTAATTTAAGCAGGGTTGCCAACTATAATAGATACGGGTATTTTAACATTACCTACTTTTAAAAAAAAGTAAAATGTATAGGTACGTGTAAGATATGGAATAAATATATTCAACCTATAATATTCGTCAACTGTATTAGCCTGAATATTATATTTATGAAATTGTTGTCCGTAATTCGTGGCATTTAGATTTCTACACCTGTCATGTTTACCTATTTCTTCTATTCCCTTAAACAATATGAGCCAGTGCCAGTTGTGTAATTGTGTTAGTTACGTAATTTTACTGTATACAGGCGTTGTCAAAAATTAGTTTGGCCAATTGGCAATGCCAAGGCCATAAATTTAAAAAAAACGTTGTCAAACTGTGGCACGTAGTACCTACCTAACCAAATATCAGTAATTTATATACTAAGGCTGTATGTTACGATACTAAATTAAGTACTAAATTTAGAACTAAATTAATACATTTTTACTTTCCTATCTGTATACAGATATAAGGAAAGTATAGGAATCATGATTTTTTTCGACCTCGAGTTTTCGACGGATTTTTACGTTTTGAGGTCCCCTGAATCCGTTTTGACTATTTTCGCGATGATGTCTGTGTGTGTGTGTGTCTGTGTGTGTGTCTGTATAACGCATAACTCATGAACCGATACACGGAAAAACACCAAATTTCAAACTTAAGCTTTATTCCAGCGTCTAATGAGCTGATTAGATTTTGGGCAGAGTCGGAACATCTGGGGGGTACTTTATAGGTGGTCATTTTTATATTTTATGGAATATATCTGTTATTTACGTTTGGGGAAGAAAATTTTTTAAATAAAAGTTACTTCTTATTTTATTATCTAAAATTTTTGTTATTTACAAAATTTTCCTAAAATGGTCCGTATTCGAGAAATTTGACAAAATGTAAAAAAATATTTTTTTTTATAAAAATTGTTCAAACAAAAGTTGTTGATAATATAATTTTCTATAATTTTTGTCCCATAAATAATTTCTCTAAAATGGACCGTATTCGAGATATTTGAGAAAATGTGTAAGTTTCGAAATTTGAAGAAAACTCAAAAACGGATAAAGAAAAAATCAATAAATTTTAAACTTAAGTTTTATTTCGGCCTGACGTGAAATGATTAGATTTTGGACAAAGTCGGAACATCTGGGGGGGTACTTTATGGGAGGCCGTTTTTATATTTTATGGAATATATCTGTTATTTATGTTTAGAGAAGAAAATTGTTCAAATAAAAATTACTTCTAATATTATTATCTATAATTTTTGATTTATGTAAAAATTTCCTGAAATGGTCCGTATTCGAGAAATTTGACAAAATGTGCAAAATTCTGATTTTTATGAAAATTGTTGAAATAAAAGTTGTTTGCGATATCGATCTCTATAATATTTGTTCATACTTGATTTTTTTTAAATGGACCGTAATGGAAAAATTGTAGGAAAAGTGCTAAATTTAAATTTTTCAGTATTTTCATTATCAATGAATATCTATAGAAAAATGTTTCGCGGTAGATGTATGTGGACAATGTATATATTTAGTTTATCCTCTAAACATTTATAGAGATGCTGCAATAGGTTGTACACAATAAACGGAAAAAGCCTGTAATAACTAGATAGGAAAGTCATGTGTTGGACACATCAGATTTTTTAAATACTAAAAAAAATTATATTGCAAACAGCAAATTTAATATTAAATTTAGTACTAAAAAAATTATGAAAGAGTAAAACCAAATTTGGTAGATTTTCACACTTTTATTTTAAAAATAAAAATTTTTAAACAAACACTAACATGACATATGTTTCGAAGTACAACTTCTTTTTCAAATGTGACTATTTACAATTCGGTATCCAATATATATACAAAATAATTTAACAAAACAAAGTACTTAAGAAAACATCAATAACATTACAAAATAAACTAACTATTTAAAGTAAATAAGGGTACTTAGGTAATTATAATATCCATCAAATAACAATAAGATAGCCCATTACCGGGATTATCTCACAGAAAACTGGGAAAGAGGTTTAATAAGGGTGAATTATTAATATCTAATTGATCATTTAGTAAGTTATCTGAATTTTTAAATCTATTTATTTCAAGTGTTTCTAAATGGTTTAATTTAAGGCTCTTATTTTCTACATGTAAAATTTCAAAGTTGTCTGTAAAAGAATGATTTTCAGCTAAAATATGATTTGAGTAAGTAGAATTATTTTTGTTTTTTGTATAGCTATTATAATGTTCGGAATAGCGTTTTTTGAAAGTACGGCCTGTTTGACCAATATACAATTTTGGACAACTACCACAATTTAATTTATATACCCCCGATTTATTATTAGGATTAATTTTACCCTTATTGTTTTTAATATACTTCCCAAGCGTATTATTGGTTTTAAAAGCTACGTTAATATTTTGGTTTTTTAAATATGATGATACCTTTTCACTAGGAGCTCCTATATATGTAAGACTCTTATATCTGCAATTTGGATCTTTAATTATGGGATAAACTTGTTGAATAGCCTGTTTAAAAAGTTTTTTCTCTAAAATGTTGTCTACTAACTTTGAATTAAAATTATTATTTACTGCGATTTGTTTAATGATATTTAATTCTTTTGTGAAGTTCTCTTTGGTAAGGGGAATATTAACTAATCTATGGATCATACTGTTGTATGCTGCCAGCTTTTGTTTGTATGGATGAGATGAACTATTATTTATTGTAATATCCGTATGTGATGGCTTATGAAATATCCCAAAACTATGGCCTTTATTATTTTTAATAATATTTAAGTCTAAAAAATTAATTGAATTATCCTTCTCTGTTTCCATAGTAAATTTAATATTAGGGTGTATAGTATTGATAAAAACTAATAAAGAATTTAACTGTCTACTAGTACCAGTAAAAGCAGTCAATATATCATCAACATATCTATGCCAATACAGACAATGTTTACTTAAATTATTGCTATGAATTTTATTTTCTATATTATCCATAAATATTTCTGCAAGCAACGGGCTTATTGGGTTCCCCATAATAAGACCTTCATTTGCTGAGTAGATGTTATTTTGAAATTGAAAATAATTTTGTTTTAGGCAAATGTTTAACAAATTTAGGATTTCTTCTTTGATTATCTACTCAGCAAATGAAGGTCTTATTATGGGGAACCCATTAAGCCCGTTGCTTGCAGAAATATTTATGGATAATATAGAAAATAAAATTCATAGCAATAATTTAAGTAAACATTGTCTGTATTGGCATAGATATGTTGATGATATATTGACTGCTTTTACTGGTACTAGTAGACAGTTAAATTCTTTATTAGTTTTTATCAATACTATACACCCTAATATTAAATTTACTATGGAAACAGAGAAGGATAATTCAATTAATTTTTTAGACTTAAATATTATTAAAAATAATAAAGGCCATAGTTTTGGGATATTTCATAAGCCATCACATACGGATATTACAATAAATAATAGTTCATCTCATCCATACAAACAAAAGCTGGCAGCATACAACAGTATGATCCATAGATTAGTTAATATTCCCCTTACCAAAGAGAACTTCACAAAAGAATTAAATATCATTAAACAAATCGCAGTAAATAATAATTTTAATTCAAAGTTAGTAGACAACATTTTAGAGAAAAAACTTTTTAAACAGGCTATTCAACAAGTTTATCCCATAATTAAAGATCCAAATTGCAGATATAAGAGTCTTACATATATAGGAGCTCCTAGTGAAAAGGTATCATCATATTTAAAAAACCAAAATATTAACGTAGCTTTTAAAACCAATAATACGCTTGGGAAGTATATTAAAAACAATAAGGGTAAAATTAATCCTAATAATAAATCGGGGGTATATAAATTAAATTGTGGTAGTTGTCCAAAATTGTATATTGGTCAAACAGGCCGTACTTTCAAAAAACGCTATTCCGAACATTATAATAGCTATACAAAAAACAAAAATAATTCTACTTACTCAAATCATATTTTAGCTGAAAATCATTCTTTTACAGACAACTTTGAAATTTTACATGTAGAAAATAAGAGCCTTAAATTAAACCATTTAGAAACACTTGAAATAAATAGATTTAAAAATTCAGATAACTTACTAAATGATCAATTAGATATTAATAATTCACCCTTATTAAACCTCTTTCCCAGTTTTCTGTGAGATAATCCCGGTAATGGGCTATCTTATTGTTATTTGATGGATATTATAATTACCTAAGTACCCTTATTTACTTTAAATAGTTAGTTTATTTTGTAATGTTATTGATGTTTTCTTAAGTACTTTGTTTTGTTAAATTATTTTGTATATATATTGGATACCGAATTGTAAATAGTCACATTTGAAAAAGAAGTTGTACTTCGAAACATATGTCATGTTAGTGTTTGTTTAAAAATTTTTATTTTTAAAATAAAAGTGTGAAAATCTACCAAATTTGGTTTTACTCTTTCAAAATTAAATGGATTTTCATCAAGTAAAGGCCGAAACAATAAATAAACTAAAAAAATTAATTAATTAATTGGAACTTCCTCTATTTTCTACCAAATTTAGTATTAAAAATGCGTTGAAATGTTGCGTAGAAGTTTTTCTCAGAAAAAGTTGACACAACGGTCTTTTCTGCAACATTTTGATTTTGGTTAGCGACAACTTTGCATTATAACCTTGGACAAATTTCGCTTGTATTTGATTTTGTAAATTTTATAATGTTTTTTCGTGGTTTTTAGTAGCATTGCTGCATTTGGTTGTTGTCAAGTCAACAAGTGTCAAAGTCATAGTAAAAACATCTTTTAATTCACTTTTCTCAGTTACACAGAATGTTTCATTTCTGTGCTAATTTCACGTAATATTACGTCAATGCGCGTGCACCTATACTTAATTTAGTACTAAAAATTGGTATCGTTACAAAAGGAAAAAAAATATTTTTAGTTCTAAATTAATAACTTACTTTAGGGCTAAATTTTAGTACCTAATTTAGTAATGTGTCATACAGCCATTACGCGCTGTAAAGTCGTAAAAGCTAGGGGGGGGGAACTGCCCCCCCTTGTCCCCCCCCAAACGACGCCCATGATCATCTGACAAAAAGCAAAAATTTTTCAAACTCAGTTTTATCAGATTTTTACTTTCCTATCTGTATTGGTACAGATAAGGAAAGCATTAGGAATCATGATTTTGACCTCGAATTTTCGACGGTTTTTTAAGTTTTGGGGTCCCCTGAATACAAAATTTTCCTAAAATGGTGCGTATTCGAGAAATTTGACAAAATGTAAAAAATAATATTTTTTTTTATAAAAATTGTTCAAATAAAAGTCATTTTTATATTTTATGGAATATATCTGTTATTTACGTTTGGAGAAGAAAATTCTTTAAATAAAAGTTATTTAAAATATTATTATCTATAATTTTTGTTCCATACAAAATTTTCCTAAAATGGTCCGTATTCGAGAAATTTGACAAAATGTAAAAAATAATATTTTTTTTATAAAAATTGTTCAAATAAAAGTTGTTTGCGATATAATTCTCTATAATTTTTATTTTATACATAATTTGAGAAAATGTGTAAATTTCGAATTTTGAAGAAAACTTAAAAACGGAAAAAACAATAAATTAGATTATAAGATTTTTTGATATCTGTATTCTTGGTTTTTATTAAAATAGATGCATGTTAGACTCAAAAAGTTCTTATTTATTAACATTTGCTTAGTTTAATCATTGAAAATATGAAATACGCTATTCGGTTTTAAAATTATTTGTTTTTCGGTTGATAGAGTAAAAAAACCTGTGTGTGTTTTTAATATAATTTTATTATATAAGATTTGAAAGTAATAGACGAACGTTATTATAGTATGTCTAAATGATTAGTTTAAAATATGAAAGTTAAGAGAAAAGTAAAAAAGATATAGATAGATAGATAGTTTATTTATACATTAAGATAGAATAAAGAGAAGATGCTATCACTGTGATAAAATAGTGCGCACCTTTGTATTACATTTTTACGTCATGTGTCAAACTCGAGCTAGTCAGTTTTGGTGAGAATAAATGTATTTTTTTTTAAATAACTTCATAATATTTAAATGATATAGAAACATTTTTATTCCGTCAATCTTCAAATATAAAATTCTGACTTGAAATAAATCAAAGTCGCAATTTTGATAACCCTTTTCTGTCAGTTAAATGTGTCCATCTGTCATATCGCAAAATAGTGTTTATATCTCTACTTTATTCTATCTCGATGTATTTATATCTTTCTCTAATAAGAAGAGAGAGATAGAAATTAACTAGATTAAAATAGAAATATTAAGAGAAGCTGAAAATACAAAACTCAAAATTTTTCTCAAACCCCACAGATACATGTAGTTATCACGGACATGACTCGTATCTCTGTCTTTGTTGGCCATGGCATACTTTAAAAACAATTCATGGATGACTCCATATTATTATACATAAAGTGAATGAAGTCTTAAATAATCGGGTAAAATAATTTTCGACCTAATGAAGGATTTAAACAGAAAATTCTGAAACAGATAGATTTTTAATTTTCCATAAACATTTTTGACGTACCAACAATTTTATCCCTTAGGTCACCCTTCTCGGAGGGGTAATATTTAAATGGAAAGATGCGCATGTGACACAGCATTTTAAAGGGTTTTTAATTCTCTATTCAGAAACCTAGTGGATTATAATTTTTGGACGTTCTCTACAAATAAAAACAAATTTTAAAATGTTTTAATATCTTTACCATACTTTGCACCATCAATTAATTGTAATTTTATCCGATATAGTGGAGCGCCTTGGGGTTTTGACCTCGGACTTCTGCTGCAGTAAATAAATTTATACGGTTGAAGTGCAATTTTGTTTTTTATACGTTAAATTGCAAAGTTTACCAAATTTTTTTGTGCTTTTGATTTTTTAATTATTTAAATAAAAAAATAATATTAGAGTATTCTAGTAGATGACATTATTTGATTATTTGAGGTTTATTTAATTTTCCTTTAATTACTTCTTTTTTCCGATTACTATCTGAATATACTATTTCAATTATTACAATTATCATTTATTTTTTTTTAAATCAAAATCACAATTTTTAAATAGGTAAACTTTTTTATATATATTAGTAGCAAAATATTCCATTTTTAATTTATAAATTTCATTCACTGCAGCTCAAATTCGAGGTTTTCATGTTTTTAACGCTCCAGCCGCTCCACTAATACGTATTTTTGAAAGTAAATTGGATTTGGTCCCATTCTAGGATTATTGGGACAACTTTTTGAGAAATCACGGTTTACCTCACTGGTTAGGATATTTCCCTAAAATTGGACTGGCAGTTATAATATCTTTAATGGACGAAGCCTATTTTAAAATCGCTATTTGGTTAAACGATAAAGGTAAGCATTGTTTTTTCTCATAATTTTGTTTTTGTATAAAATTTCTCTTTTACTTAGCCTAGACAGCGTTTCTTAGTACTTATATAATTCGTTAGAAAAGATTGTCTATGTATATATTAGGTACTGATATTTTTTAAAATGTCTTTCATTTCTATTTTGAATTGTCTTTAAAACTGCTATTATAGTATTAGAAAATGAAAAATTATCTAGCATGCTTTATATTTGTCATTTATTATTTCCAATTCTGTCAAGTGTCAAATTAATATTAAAAGTCTTATTACAAAAATACCCTCCAACAATACATATATGATACAAAATGTGTTCCAATGAAATACCCTGTATAATACTTGAAAAAGTGGATAAAAAATGGCGATAAATAAATGTTGACATAAAAAATTTAGATAAAACAATACTGGAAGAAACAAAATTTGGATGAAAAAATTGGATTAATAGTTATTTATTCAAAAAGTGCAAAAAGTAAGTGTTTATTGCACGCGACGTGAAATTGTCGAGGCCGTCAGGCCAAGTTCGACACGTCGAGTGCAATAAACACTTTTTACACGAGTTGCATACAATATTTTTTCTACGTTCATGCAAAAACCAAAAAATGTTTTATAGAACTGCAGTTGTATTATCCAAATCATAGTAGCCGTGATCGTGTACCTTTGTTTGAGGCATTTATTTACGTTTGTGTTCATAATTTGTAATGACATTTTTAATAAAATACATTTTTTATTAATTTATTAAATGATTGAAAATAATATAAAATATGCAATTGTTTTTAAAACGTAACACAGAAAATGAAAATGGACTAAATATTTGGCGTTGATTTGAATATTTATGTTTGTCATGATCATAAAACGCTGTAGTAAAATGACAGATGAGTGCAATAAAATTTTTATTGCACTAGTGCAATAAAGATCCAGTTTTTTCACTAAATATAGTTCAATAAAGTTTTGTTTTTTGCATGAACGTAGAAAAAAAAAATTTGGACCTTTATTGTGCCAATTAACCATTTATTTTTCAAATCGAAATTAGATTTGAAAATTGTTTTTGCGAATTTTTGTCCCTAGAATTATTTTAGGGAAACTTCAAATGTCGATAAATATTTCCAAACCTTTTTAGATCATAATTTTGCCCTACTCACAGTTGAGCAATTTTTCAAAATTAAAAATCGTGTTTTTCGATTAAAATTAAGATCGTGCGCGCCATTTTAGACCAATTCGGTTCTCTTCTATCGCTGGTCGAGATAGCCGTTCAGCCGCCCACGTGAAATTCCTAGAAATTTCTAAACGCGATGCCGGTCTAGTCGAATCGAGAGCATCTAGAGACTTTTAAACAGGTCTGGAACGCCACAATTTTCTATAAATAGCACAACTTTGTCGTAACAAGTCAATTTAAGTTGAGATATCGATTTGTTAATTTACATACTGGTAATACATAAAGTTAGATTCATATGGAATTTTTTTTTAATATTACGACTGGAAAAACGTAGAAAAACCTCTGCTTTTTTAAAAACCTAAAATAGCACACATTAAAGTTGGCTAAGTACTGCATTAGTTATCTGTCAAATTCGATATTTTAAAAAATGCGAATTTGACAGAAAACTAATATGAGTAGCCAACTTTAATATGGGTTATTTTGAGTTTTTAAATAAGCACACACTGTATAAATTAGTATACAAGTGTTTAATATATAAATAGTGTTGTATTAAGTTGTTTATAAATTAATGAATATAGTGTAAATAAATTAAATAATAAACTCTTTAAAATAATAAAAAAACGTTACATTGGTGTCAGATATCCGGAAACGCATCTATTTTTACAAAAAGCGTCTTCTGTTATAGTTTCTTCAGGTACTTCCGATTGGAAAACTAAAATATTTGTTGGCTTCTATAAACAAATGATATTTCTTTCTTAGAAAATAAAGTTTCTTCTGATATGACTTCTATGAAAAACAAAATTTCTTTTGACATTGAAAATAAAATGTGTATAAAAAGCGAAATTTTTTCCGAAATGTCTTTTGTAATAAAATAAAAATAAATAAAAATAAAATTTCCCAAAAATGGAAAATTGAAAAAATGTCTTCCGTTGAGAACATAAAATAAATGAAAATAGGAGAAATAGAGGAAAAAGAAAGGCAAGCCGTGGAAAATAGAGAAGCAGCCAAGGACGATGAAATAAAGGTGGAATCAAAGCTGAAATTAGAAGGAATTGTAAGTTCTGTTCGTGTTAAAGCCACAACTTTCGACGGAAAGATGTCATGGATCAACTACCTAAAACAATTCGAACGAATGGTCTGAAAGGGAAAAGGCAGTAAATCTGACCATCATCCTTTGAGGTCCCTATTCACATCACTCCAAATAAAATTAATTCGTTTGGACGGGGTCCAAATAGATTTTAAGGCCCCCATTCACGAGTACGCCAAATGTCCAAATGGAATAACTGCATTCCAAAATCCTGTGAATATTGAAAAGGCTCCCATTTACGAGCATGCCAAATGTTCAAATGGAGTGACTACACGCCAAAATCTCTCCGTGAATGTTTTGGTATGGCGTGGTGGTTTTTCTGGATATCCAAAAGTCCCAAACATCCAATGAACTCGTAGCAGTCTGCGGCGTGGACGCTGTATGAATGGGAAACCCCGCGAGTTAGCTGTGCACCACACAACACAAAAAATTATTCACACATCTATTTCGAGTAACCGTGAATGAAGAGTTTCTAAACGTAAAATCCATTTCGATGCCGTCCAAATGGATTCATTCCGTTTGGAGCCTTTCAGACTCCCATTCATATCACTCCCCACAGGGTGGAGTCCTTTCTCCTCTACTGTGGAACCTAGTGGCAGATGAACTGCTGAAAACACTGAACGATCAAGGGCTGTACACCCAAGGATATGCCGATGACATATCCTTATCCGAGGGAAACACCAAACGGCAGTCTTTGAACCCATGCAAAGAGCTCTTAGGCTGACAGAAATGTGGTGCTTTATGGAAAACCTCTTGGTAAACCCTGACCAGGCTCAACTCATAACATTTACTCGGAAAACAAGGTAGGAGGTTTTAGAAACTTTGACTCTGTTTGGAGGAAGACTAAACAAAACGAACCACGTAAAATATCTCCAAATCTCCAACAACTGGAACCCACTGGGACATATAAAACATACCAGAATAATACATGAAGTAAATGATTCTATATGAAACATGGAATCAGATCACATAACACCCCTCCTAACCTTCAACAGACTCTTGCAGGTCAACTGCAACTGGAACGAAGTAAATAAGGAGATAGATAAATACTTGCTTAACGGTCTTGTATGGTATACGGATGGATCTAAAACTAACAAGGGAACAGGCTCTGGCGTACATGGAGTTATACCCAAATGCGACATCATCGTCTTACTGGGAAAATATACCACTGTATTTCAGTCTGAAATACATGCAATCGAATTGTGTGTACAAGAGAATTTAAGAAGGAAGTACAAAAAACAAACCATTCTAATTCTCTGAGATAGCCAAGCAGCCTTAAAGGCTCTTGATTCAAACAGAATCAATTTAAAGCTTGTCTGGAACTGCCTTGGAATACTAAATGATCTGGCATCCCACAACGCAAGGTAAAACTAGCGTGGGTACCAGGGTACAAAGGAATCTAAGGAAATGAAAAGGCTGATGAACTCGCTAAAGAGGGATCAGATCTACCATTCACAGGACCCGAACCTGTATTTGGGATAAGCAAAGCCTTTGCTCGACAGGCAGTGAACAGGTGGATAACCACAAAACACCAAATTCACTGGCAACAGATAAGAGGGCACAGAATCAGTAAGTTCATGCTAAGGGGACCAAAGCCACGCATGGCTACTGAGGCATTACAACTCGCAAGGCCTCAGATATCCACCATTATGGGATTACTAACGGACACTGCTTGCTGAAACACCTTCATATGGGATTTTACAAATATCCCACTACGTGTAGTCTCTGCATGGATGAAGAAGAAACCTCATACCATGTGATCTTAGAATGCGAAGCTCTTACTAAGCGACGTTTCATCCTTTTCGGCCTAAAATCGGAAAGAACGCCCCAGGAACACTTGGTAGGGAATTTATTAAAACTAACCAAAGACACAGGACTATTCCGAAGATAGTATCTGAATACGGCGAAAACAGGGGAATACAAAAGACCCAAGAGACCGCAGTGTTCTGGGCCAAACCTAACCCTACCTGCTTATAACCGACAAACATAAAAATAAGAAAGTCTGCATCCAAATAGATTTTACGTTTAGAAACTTTTCATTCACGGTCACTCCAAATGGATGCGTGAACAATGTAGTTTTTGTTTTGTGTAGTATACAACCAACTGAAGTGGTGGAATTTTACTAAACTGAGACATGTAGGTATGCAGTTCGTGTAAACGCCCTAGGGTCACAACACATCAAGAAAACGTAGAGCAGGACCAGACTGGTCGAAAATGGCTCGCACGACATTATTTTAAGACATGGTTAAAAATAATTGGTGGAAATCCTGGTGCTTGTAATTTTGAAAAATAATAACTTCGGGACCCAGCATTTTTTTTTATTTTTGTCTCTAAAAGTGGTAAAAAAGAGAAGTTACTGGGTGGCCAAAGAAGGTCAAGGGCTGATAAAACAAATACTATTTTTGAAACAAATTTTTATGAAAGAAATGCTCAAAAAATGTGAGAAAAAAAAATGTTGAATAAAAGATAAAAAATATGAATGAATAAAAGATGAAAAATATGAATGAACAAAATTAGAATAAAATGAATGTAATTATGTAAAATACAATTTTATGAGTTTAGTATTATCTGAATCATATATTGGCTTCCATATTTCCATAAAAGCTATTTTTTTAAGCCTCCATTCATAGATCGATGAATTCTCGCTTTATCGATGATTCACCAAATTTTTTTATTAATTTATGAAACGTTTACTGAATATAACATTTTTTTTTGTTAATTAGTTGAATGGCTGTGGTAGGAACCAATTAACCAGACTTTCAATATAACAACATTAAAAACAATACTTAATAATTTTTTGACATTTGGCAACAGGTTTGTTCTGATTTTTTAAAAATGCATAGATAAATTGCTCGACTAGTTTTTCTAGTCACAACAATCTTCTAAAAAACAAAACAAACCTTAACAGTTTAGTATCTATTTTTAGAATTAGAATTTCGAGCTGTTAAATATGTTACATTGCTGGAATCTTTTCTAATGAATAGAATTATTATTTACCTTACAGTCTAATTTTATTTTTGTCAAAAATATTTAATATATTCCGCAAATGGCTATTTTTTATATTTTATTTTTACCACGCTGCTCTTTAGAAAATTACCGTCTTGAGACCAAATACGAAAATCATCTCATCGGAAAAGTTGCTCTGGTTTGTATCTATAGCTTTAGAACTACATTGTTTTTAGTTAAAATATTTGAATTACAGCATTTTGCATTGAATCAACAAATAATTTAATGGAGTTTAAGGGCCGGACTGGAGTATTAGAAAAAGATGTTTGTTATTAGCAAGTGCTATGTGTTTTCAGACATCTCTCAGAAGAGAAGAAACATAAATAAATATTGTTAGTTGACCCAGTCCGATCCTTTTAAATATCATTGTATGATCATTTATATTTTCTATTATAAATAATATTATCTACTTACATGGTATAAAATCTGCAACTTTCATCATTCATCAAGTCTTTTGTAATGAAAACTCGCTACATTTAATATATACAATGACTTTAAATTACACCGAAAATATAAAGAAATTTAAGACAATCCTGTCATGTGATCTCTAGACATTAAGCCCCACGTTGGGCGCCAAATAATGTAATACTTGGGCTCTAATATAATTCTTCTAACATTCAAATATCTGTCTTCCTAATCTTATAAATTAAAAAAATTGTTTCCGTTGAAAAAAATTGCAAAATATTTTCCTCCCATAGAAATTAAAAAATTAAAACCAAAACAAAACGAAAAATCGTTACCATCGAACTATTATGCCTTTGATCATCTTAGTCTCAGCTTAACAAGTTCTCTCAAACGGTCAGGTGGCGATCTTCTTCAATTTAGAATTGCAATTGGCTACAAAGTTTCACAACCTCATCTTAAATAGACCACTAAAACCAGCCATTGAACGTTTCCGAATACGCGTAGCACAAGTGTTTGTAAAAATTACAGAGAGTGAGCATTAAAACGAGCAGGAAACAAATAAAATCTGCGTTGCCAGTTTATACGGCCCGACCGCTTTGTAACGTTGGCCATGCAAAGGCGTATATACTTATTAGTAAAAGAAGAAAAACTACTTTCTGCAATTTTAAAAAAAGTTGAAAAGGCTAATTATTATACTCATCTTCACATAGTAGTCTGTGAAAATATTTTAATTTAAAATGTTATTTTTTATTATTTATTTTGCTTATTAAATAAATACGATTCACTTTGAGAATCTTCAATTTTTTTGTACAGGGTACACAATAAAAAAGAACAATAGTTGTGGATTTTGAAAATTAAAATTTCGTAATACAATTTTTTTAACACTCAGATAAAGAGCTTGTAGTAAAAAATGTTACTTGAAATTTTTTCATCTGCAAATCCACAATTGCTGTATTTTTTGCGCATCCTGTACAATAAAATCGAAGTTTCTTAACGTGAATCGTATTTATTTAACAATCAAAAGAAATTAGAAAGAATAACTTTTTAAAAAAATTTTAAATAAATATTTTTACAATAAGTCCATCCGTGAACACACTATATTTTTAGCTGAGTCGGTCCTGGATTTTCTTATTTTTTATACATGTATATACTCGACAAGATATGGATAACAAGTGTGGCAAACATACAAAATCTACCGGGTTCTCAAGTTATCAATAAAGGAAAGAATGGACATTGATAAAACACCCTGTATATCGGTTGTAATCGGTCAAATACTAATTAAGCAGGGGTTATTTAGAATCTTTAACGTGTCTCCGTTTCTTAATAAATTACCGTGTATATGTTTTACTCTTTCGTTAACAAATTATTTTTTTATAGACATACAGATTAGGAAAAAAGTATATGAGCCATACGGTGTAGGTACGCCCTTATCTATTAATTGCAGGCCAATATTCGTAACACGTCGGATAGCATCGTAATCGAATCGGTGAACATGTATAATAAATGTATTAATGTTCTTTGTATTTTTTTTTATTTTTGTAAAATAATTTTTCATTGTGTGACACATTGTTCTCGAAAAACAAACATTTAAGTATTCCAACCTGCACACAGTAAGTATCCTTAGGAATTAAATGTTTGCACTGGTATTTTAAGGGACCACATTATTGGTCCTTTTTCATTGATAGTATAAACTAAACGGTCAAAAATATTTAGATTTAATTCAAAATAAACGTATTTATGTTTCATTTACAAATAATTCTTAATTCTGGGATTAGGAGACTTAAGAAAATATTGTCTGTATTTAATTAGAAAGAACAATGTCCCACAAAAGTTCATGCATTACTAAATTATGAATTGAAACTTTCTTTAAGCTTCCAGAAGACGTGGTAGGTAGGCGTTGTACACAAAGTAAAGAGTTGTCAAACAGCCTATACCCTATGGCTCGTATACTTTTTTCCTAATATGTATATAATAGTTAAATGATGATTTAAGAAGTTTGTTTCCTATATTTCAACAAAAAACAATATTTTTTGAGTGTAATTTAAATTCATTAAACTCTGCACGTTTTAGGATATAGTTTTTTGAGCAAAATCATTTAGATCGCCTGGAATGTCTTAAATCGTTCAAAAATGTTCTCTAAAATTGATGTTGTCTATTGCAATAAATTAACCACCATTTTTGAACGATACAAAATGTTCATAATCATAACAATCACTTAACAATTATTTATTTTGTTTGCAGTTTCAATTCGTAAACTCGTTTCTATCGCTCTTTTACATCGCCTTCTATCTACAAGATCAGGCGCGTCTAAAAGAGGTAATTAACAATTAAAACAAAGATAAAGACATTCTATAGATGATGTATTATTTCGTTCCAGCAACTAGCAGCTCTTCTGATAGCGCGTCAAGTGATCGGAAATCTCAAAGAATCGGCCGTGCCGTACATGTTGGAACACATGCGTTTGGCTAAAATGAGTTTCGATATGTGGGGCGCTTTGAGCCCGTTGAACAGTAAATCTCCTCCGGGTACCGAAGAAACACCCACGGAAAATGAAGAGAACGAAACTAAAGACGATAATGCTGAACAGTTGAATACTAAGAGAACCATGAGTCAGGCTGAGCTGGAAAGTACTTTATATAAAGTAAGTGTTTGTGGAAAAATAATTAAAACAGTAAAGGTCCTAAATTGGAACCTTGAGGGATACTTGATGTAGGGCAATAAATTGCAGAATAGAAACCGTTGTAAGCAACATGATATACATTGTGTAATAAAAAGATTCATAGTAAATTTAACCACAGTTTCTGGGGTCGAAAAATCATTTCTAAAATTTATACTTTAACACTGTAACTTTTTACTATCAATTTTTTACGTAAACAAGTTTTTGATACACCCAATGTAAACTTGATTTTTTTAATTTAGTTTATCAATTAATATTTTGTGGTCAATCCTGTCAATTGAAGAAATTAGTGTATATGTCATCGACAAGTTATTTATTGTCCACAGCTCTAGCTATATACTGAGTAATTTCTACAATATTGAAAGTGGTGAATCTTTGTCCGATTGGTTTATCACCATTTTTGAACATTGAACAGACTCTAGATACTTCTCACAAATATCAGGAAATACAGACATTTGGACAATTAGAATTAACATTTTAAATAACAATTGAAGAGTGGTAGTACCAAAGGCACTAAGTACCAAATTCACAAACATAAAATAAATAAGAAAACAATTTTATTAAATGTATCTTTTTTTACCTTTTACGGGCGACCTTATTTTAATCTACATGTAACCTTTGAAATTATATGGCACATAAAACCTATAGTAATATATATTGGTGATGGTATTTACAATCGTTTTAAGAATATACCCAGAAAATTTAGATTTTGGCACTTTAGTGCCTTTCTACTATTCAATTGTTGGAAATGCATCCAACATATTTTACTTGATACATCAGACTAACCCTGCCTTGAATTAATTGCGGGTTGATCTCTTGAGAGAACTTTTTGAAAATCTGACGAACCTGGGCCCGTTATTGGCCCAGGCACGGCCCGAGCCCGGCGCGTTATATCTATAAGCAGCTTTAAAAGTTCGTATTGAGATTTAGGTTTTATAAACCGTTTGTGATAAAAATCTTTAATATCATTCTTAAATGAACTAAGGTTTTTTTTTTCAGTACGATGGTACTTTTGCTGATCATTTAGAAATGACAATACAATTAGGTTACGTCATACTGTTTTCTTCTGCTTTCCCGCCGGCAGCTTTGTGCGCTATGCTCAACAATCTGATAGAGATCAGAAGCGACGCTTTCAAACTGGCCTATGTTTGTCAGAGACCGTTTGGACAACGCGTACCTAATATCGGAACCTGGCAGGTAAGAGATAAGTTAATAAGATCGTCTGCAAAGCTTCAATTCGCTTGAAATAATCTGATATTCGAAGATCGAAGTATTTATATTTCTTAACAAATAAACGTTTCTTACAATAAAGTTCAAATTATTCTTATAGTCCGAGAGCTTGTGACAAAGAGGTGAAAAAATTTTGTCAATGCTCAAACTTCTAAAATGATGAAATTTTGGCTCCTAAAATGTATAATACTATTCTTGAAAACAAAAAAAAGCATTCAAAAAGCTCAAATTAGTAAAAGAAAATTAAAATCTTATATTTTAGGAAAAACAAGAAGTTTTGTGATGTCTCTATTTACTATTACTATTTAAATATTAAATTCTGGTTAAATTAGGTAATTAGGATCTTGATGATTTAAATATTTATTAGCTTAACATTTTTTTATATGTTAATCTTAGGTTAACCCCTCATATTTCTACTTATCTACTTATATTTTCTTGTTATTTACTTTTTTATGAACCTACATGTACTCCTTTACAAAGTTATTGAAATAAATAATGTAGAGTGAAGTTTATAAACATTTTTTTCAATATATATTTGCTTTTCTAACCTAAAACTTAAAATGTATGAACTTAATTTATTATTTTACAATTCCCAATAATTTTTCTTCAATGAATACCTCCTTTACAATTAATTTGTTGATTTTCTAGAATTGTATGGAACACATGAGCATAATGGCCGTATTGGTAAACTGCGCCCTAATAGGGCTTTCTGGGCAAGTCCATCGAATGTTTTCGGACATGACAGCTACTCAAACTATCCTTTTAATTGTCGCATTAGAGGTAAGAAATTTACATGTAAATGGTCTTTACTTTTTGTTATCAGTTGTCAATTATCTTTTAATCTTGTGACATACTATAAAGACACCTTTCAAGTCTAATTATAATTATTGTACCAGCTATACATCAGAATGTTTTACTTAAATTCTCACTATTTTATTATTTTTAGCATATCATGTTGGTTATTAGATTTATAATAACTTGCGCAATACCAGACATTCCCGGTTGGTTGGCCACCGAAATGGCGAAAATAGAATGGGCCCGAAGAGAGGCTAGTAGGATTACAACGAATACACCGTCGCCTGAAGAACTTAGCTCGAAACTTATAGGAAGGTAAATTAATCAAACAAACCCATTTTAACAATGAACGATTAATTATCATTTATTTATTATGATTTATAACGATTTTTTTTACCATTTATTACGATATTTTAGCATTTATTACGATATTTTGGCATTTATTACGATTTTTTAGGATTTATTACAATTTTTAGGATTTATTACGGTTTATTACGATTTATTACAACTTATATGTGATTTATTACGATTTATTGCGATTTATGACGATTTATTATGATTTATGACGATTTATGACGATTTATTTCAACTTATTACAATTTATTACAATTTATTACAACTTATTACAATTTATTACAATTTATTACAATTTATTACAATTTATTACAATTTATTACAATTTATTACAATTTATTACAATTTATTACGATTTAGTACGATTTATTACGATTTATTACAATTTGTTACGATTTATTGCAATTTATTATGACTTATTTGCGATTTATTATGATTTTTATGATTTATTGTGATTTCTGACGATTTATTATGATTTACTACGATTTATTATAATTAATACGGTTTATTACGATTTATTACGGTTTATTACAATTTATAACGATTTATTGTAATTTCATACGGTTTATTACAATTTATTACGATTTATTACGATTTTATGCGATTTATTATTATCTATTACGATTTATTATGTTTTATTACAATTTATTACGATTTATTACGATTTATTACGATTTATTACGATTTATTAGGATTTATTACGATTTATTACGATTTATTACGATTTATTACGATTTATTACGATTTATTACGATTTATTACGATTTATTACGATTTATTACGATTTATTATGATTTATTACGATTAATTTCGATCTTTTACGATTTTTTACGATTTATTACGATTTATTATTATCTATTACGATTTATTATGATTTATTACGATTTATTATGATTTATTACAATTTATTACGATTTATTAGGATTTATTACGATTTATTATGATTTATTATGATTTATTATGATTTATTACGATTTATTTCGATCTTTTACGATTTTTTACGATTTATTACGGTTTATTAGGATTTATTACGGTTTATTATAATTTATTTAATTTATTACGGTTTGTTACAATTTATTATGACTTATTTGCGATTTATTACGATTTATTTCGATTTATTTCGATTTATTTCTATTTATTTCGATTTATGACGATTTAATACGATTTATTGTGATTTATTACGATTTATTACGATTTATTAGAATTTATTATGATTTCATACGATTTTTTTACGTTTCATTATCGTATCATGATTTATTACGATTTATTACGACTTATTACGGTTTATTACAATTTATTACGATTTATTGTAATTTATTACGGTTTATTACAATTTATTATGACTTATATGCGAATTATTAAAATTTATTGTTATTTATGAAGATTTAATACGATTTATTACTATTTATTGCGATTATTACGATTTATTACAGTTACAAAAAGAAGATTGTTACAGAAAGTACCATTAAATGGCATTTTTTTCAGATTTTCTGTATCTCCCATCCATTCTCTATCGCAGAGTTCTGAAAGCATGAAAAAATCCATGGAGAAACTGAAACAGTACGATTTGGAACTATCGAAAGAGGTAACCCCAGTTCTTACCCCAACAACGCCAGGTACTTCATCGTCCAACGCTTCATCCGGCCAAAATCACAAAAATACCGGAGGCGTTACTATCGACAGCATCCAGGCAATACCGCCGTTCAAACCCAGGAAGTCTAAGGAATGGACGTTACCAGCAGAGGTGATTTTTTTAAAATTAATATTAAGTTTGAGTCCTAACAGTAGTGCTTCGATTGTAAATTTTGAGATCGTCAGCAAATAGACATTTCGATTATTTTAGCACAGCAGAAAATTAATTTATAAGTAATATGAAAAGTATCGGACCAAGATTTGATCCTTGAGGAACTCCAAAAGTAATATTACAAAAACTATACTTAACGTAAACAACTTAAAATGCCATGATATATTCAAAAATATTCTAATTTGCCCAGTAATATGCCTTAGCAATGTCTGTTGGAAATCCATCCAACATATTTCAATTAATACATCAGACGAGTCCAGCCCTGAGTTTCAAACCGATCAAATAATTAATAATTCAAATACAAAAATCATGATTCAAAAAATATTATCGTTTTCGAGCTTGTTGGAACAAACCTATAAACAACATCTGAAAACATTGATAAAATTTAGATTTATTTCTGATATTTATAATATCTAAATAAAATAAAAAATATTCCTCTCTGATCCCTTATTTTTTTTTTTTGATGGAACGTTAAATAAAATGCCACAGCCACTTCTATATATCATCTAGCAATCTATCTATCAAAAACTCTTCGTATTAAAAAATACAGATTGTAAATGCAGTGACAGATACAATACATACTTTCCTTTTTTCCTCATCACGCCACATGCATTACAACACTGGCAATTTCGTTTGCCAAGGATATATTATTTATGTTGATATATCATTATTGACTCTTTATTGATATACAGGGTGTTATTGAAATACACGTACATATTAAAATGGGGAATAGTATGTAATGACCAAAAACGATTGGCACCAATTTTAACTTCAAATTCTAAAATTTAAATATTGGGGAAGAGTCCCCTTTTCCGACCTACTAGTTTCCATATTTAAAGAAGTAAAATAAATCGAAATTGAACTTACCCATAGAAATTGCACTGTTGCCGTAGCAAAACCAATTAATTCAAAATAAAGTTTATTACAGTAATTGTTCAAAATGCCGTCCATTATTATTTACACACACTTGCAATCGTCTTTCCAAAGAACTTTGAACATTAGAAATTAGTCTTGGATTTTGTCGTAGTTCCTCGGCTACCGCATTAACTTTATTGGTTAATTGTTCAACACTATTAATAAGTTCATTATAAACCAGTTGTTTCATGTGACCCCACAAAAAGAAATCGCATGGATTTAAGTCCGGAGATCTCGGAGGCCACTTAGTAGGTCCATTTCTGCCTATCCACTTTTGAGGAAATCTAATGTTCAAAAACTGCCGTACGTTTAAATCAAAGTGAGGAGGAGCGCCATCTAGTAGGTACCACATCCGTTGCCTTAATTGTAACGGTATCTCTTCTAGGAGTACTGGCAAAATATCTTCTAAAAAGTGGAGATATCCTGGCCCATTTAATCTGTTCGGGAGAACATAAGGCCCGATTAAATATTGATCTATTATGCCAGCCCAAACATTTATTGAAAATTTTCTTTGATGCCCAGTTTCCCTAATGGCGTGAGGATTTTCATCACTCCAAATATGCGTATTGCGCATATTGAACACGCCATCACGAGTGAATGAAGCCTCGTCAGTATACAATAATATTTTTAGAAAATCAGGAATATCAACACATTTTTGAATCATCCATTCACAAAACTCCACTCTCTTTTCTTCATCACCTGGATATAAGGCCTGGACTTTTTGGATGTGATAAGGATGTAAACCTTGTTCTTTAAGTGTCCGCCACACAACAAATGAGGACACTCCAATTTCAAGACCTAGTCTTCTACAACTTAATTGAGGCCGGTTTTCAACAGCTTCCAATATTTCTTCTTCGGCCGCCAATGTTCTTTGTGTTCTTGTTCTCCCTCGATCTGCATTGACACTCTCAAATTTTCCATGGTCTCTTAGATGCTGAACAGTTGAAATAAACGTACGACAGTCCGGAATTCTCCGATTTGGAAACCGTTCGCGATACAGGATTTGTGCTTGCCGAGAATTTTCTCCAGCTGCCCCATAAACCAGCACTATATTCGTTAGTTCAATATTCGTAAATAGTGGCATCGTAAAAAAATATTTAAAAGTAATCGTAACAACACTTTTTACCAACTTGGAAATGACGCGCTCGTGTTAGCCAGATTCGTAAATCAACTAAAATTTTAATAATCTATAGTTTCAAAAATGTATAGTTTAAAAACAATCATTTATCAAATATTCTAGTTTTTTGATAACGAGGGTAGTAAAAACCAGTCTTCGGAAATAGAAATTAATTCGAAAATCTTGGCAACATGGTTATTTCTTACAAGACTAGTTTTCTTATCATCTGACAAAAACTTGCATATTAATTACTGTTGATGTTTAAAATAGGTAAATAAACCTAATTTATATAGGTCATCCTCAACATATCAGTGAAGTACGTTTGTTTTAGAATTAATTTTCAAAAATTAATAACTCCCTTAATAAGGGGTATTTTTAAAAAATAATATTTTTCTACATTCAGTGGGTATCTGCGCAATACCCAGTTTTAATATGTACGTGTATTTCAATAACACCCTGTATACCCCAAATATATTTAATATAATATACATTCCAAATATGTATTTAATGATGGGATTTGAAACTAAACAAGGCACCACAGTATAATTTTTACTCCTGACAATTTTAAAATATTTTTTTATGAGACATCAGTGTGCCAATAGGTATTGGTGATAATCTGAAATTTGTTTATCTAGGGCGAATCCACCCATCACTTAACCATCGGTCCCGGAGGCATTGAATGGGCTCGAAGACTGAAAGAAGACACAGAGGTGCACAGGAGTACAGACTGCATTGCTCCAAAGGTAAGTAAATAAACTCGATCCCAAGGAACATTTAAAATATTCAAAATATTGTTTAGGACGCTTCCAGTTCAGATTCGGATCTATTGAAAAACAGCCCCCATTGGCCTCCCAGACCGAGAACACCGCCTCAAATACCGGCTAGGGCGAGACCTCTAGTCCCCCAGGACCCGTCGCTGAGCGACAGCGCCAAAAGCGTTGCTAGCCAGGAGGCTGCCGAAGAGGCGGCCAAAATAGGTAAACAATGTTTATTTAATTATCTGTAGAGCCTATATAAACAAATAAATTTTTAGCTGCCGCGGAAGAGTTGGCGGCTAAGAAGACGCGTGTGAAACAGAGTTTGATGAAAAGAGCACGGTCTGTGGCTATATTTTCTCTAAAATTGAAGGAACGTCGCGCTAGGGAAGCCGCAGAAAAGGGATTGAAGCCCGTAACTCCTACTGCTCCTCTTCCGCCTCCTCAACAGGGTGGGGAACTGTCTTGTATTCCTATAGAAAAGGTACATAGTTATTTCTATTTGTTTTTCCATTCTTGAACTATAAACTACACTCATGGGCAAAATGATCGAATATTTTTAATTTTTACTTTTATTTAAAAATAAATTTTAAATTATCTCCGTAAACTTTTAGGTATGTTAATGATAAATCTCCGCTCCTTGAAAAACTACTCTTACAAATCGCGCTACACTCGGTCGGTTACTCTGGCGCCAAATTATTTGAAGTAGGTTTACTCCACTAACTTTAAGACGGTGTCAAAAGTATTCGGGCAGATGCAGGTAAAAAATTCTAAAGGCCACGTTGATTGTGTCAAATATAGAATTTTCCAGAGACTGAAAGAAAACGAAAAAGTCAGAGCGGACACGGTTTAATAACATTAATATTATGCCAGTTGTTTTAATTCAATAACTCTACTAGATTTGTCGATTAGAATTTTCAAGAATTCAGTGGAATATCGAGCAATGGAAAAAATATTTTATTTACTGATGAGGCTCGAATTCAATTATGGAAGTCATATGGACGAAACCACATTTACAGAAGAATTGGAAGCTGCAATCTTAAAAATAATGTTAGTTTTGGAGGTGACAGTGTAATGCTTTGGGGAGGTGTAATTTGGAAAAGACTTATTGAACTTGTGGAAGTGGTTGAGTGCATGACTAGTGAAAATATCTTACAAGAGCATGTTGTACCATGTTGGCCATATTGGATACGAACGATTTATAAAGCTCGACCACGTGTAAATGACATAGTGACCAATTTCCTAAGTGAAGTCCAGATTGAAACATTAGATTGGCCACCATATGGCCCAGACTTGAACCCGACTGAACACACGCCAAATACGACAAAGAAATCCCATTCCAAGTACAAAAGAAGAACTTCGAACTGCAGTAGATGAATAGAATGCAATTCCTGAAGAAGTCATTTAAACTCCACTTTTTAGTATGCCAAGAAGTAATAAGAACTCGAGGAGGAAATATTCGTTACTAATTATGCCCTTATTTTAATAAAAAACATAGTATTTGACCTCCTAATGGCAATACATTTTGATAGCATACAGAAAAAAATATTTTCACGATTTTCTACTCATAAAAACTAAATATTGTTCGCTTAAAATTTATAAAATAAACTGCTCTTCGTTTGATGACTTTGATTCATTAGAATTTATATTAAAAAAAATTAATGATCACTTTGAAATATTCGATAATTCTGTACTGCAAATGTTGAAGAAAGCTGGATTTTTTATGTTTAGATATCCTACTTCCCCATTTATAGTTTTTCTTTTAACGTTCTGCTATTTAATCGTTTTCCACTTCTAATTGATAAATATATAATTCATTATTGTTTTTTGTTGCAGCTCATCCAACTGGAGGACCTGCAGTGCATCCAAAGGCCTAATAATCAAACGGGTGCTTTGTAGCAACATTTTGACTAAAACTAATTCCCATCGACAAATTTGAGTAAAAGTAAACGAAAAAGTTTATTTTTCAAATGTTTTTTAAATATAATTTGGTAATGAAGAACATGAGTCTGAGATACATTTACGTTGTAATCATTTTTGGATGAAGAAATCTATCTTGTTAAACAATTACAAGTCGATTTTGTTGCCTCCTGCGAGGCATCGTTTTTCACGTACAAAGTTAGGAAGTCTGCAACAAATTAACCTAATAATTATTCGACAAGTGACAGATGCGTCAACTGTCAATCGATAAGAACGAATATCTGTCAAATTTTGTATGCGAAATGTATGATAGTTTAATGTAATTATCTAGTTTTGTAGGGATATTAATTTTTTCTGTCATCACTTTCCATATAATAAATTACCCGAATTTTTGCAGTTAGAATTTAATAGTAATAATAATAAAGAAAAGAAAGAAAATTGTATTTTACGTTTGGACCATGCACATATCATTTCTACAAATAATGATTAAGGCGTCATTGTTGTTGTTATTGTTATATAAAAAAAATCGCGAAATTGTACTGGTTACTTTTCTTTCTCTATTTTAAATAAACTGTGTCAAATATGAGAATGATAAGTACGGGAAACTCATAAACGGTTGAAACTTTGTTTACATTACTGCGCATGATTTTTCATTGTCAATAACATCTAAATGTCAATTCAAGTTGAATGCAGTTTGTACCGTTTGAATCAGAACAATAATAGCGGAAATATAAGCCGATGTCCTGCCTTTTTCATTTACTAGGTATATTTTTCGTTTACTTCGTATGTATCCTCTCGTGACTTCACACACCGCTTAGTCAAATCGCATACCACTTATCCAAGTTTCAATTCTCAACACTGAGAGGTGGTGCCATCTTGCGATGACTTTTGGAAGTAGCGTGCCCGTATCCTCTTTGCTCATCTACTCCATTTTTTAAATTTATCTTGAGTTCGGGATGTGGACTCCTTCTGCTCTTTTCACTCCATATCTAACTTCATATCACTGAATTACAATTATTTAGCATAGACTGAAATTAGTTATGGAGTGAAAAAAGTAAAAGATAGTACAGATATGTCGTATTTAACAAAAAACATGCGCATTAGCATCGCCAAAAGGGCATTCATGTATATCTTCGTTATTATTGGTCCGAATCAAATGGCGTGAACGCTAATCAATTTAAAACGTCATTTAGATGTCATTTAAAATATAAAAACATGCACAGTAGTACCGTCAAAAGGATCTAAGCTTATATCTCCGTTATTATTAGTTCGATTTGAACAGGACAAACGGCTTTCAATGTAAAATGTTATTTAGAAGTAATTTACAATAAATAATACATATGTAGTATTAATGCCAAAAGGACTTAAGCCTTATCAACTAGTTTGTTTGACAAGATTATTTTGTAACGTCATCTATCGAATTATGTTGTCTTTTGAGGAGCCAATAATAATGATAATAAGATATGTGCCAACGTTTTCTGTTTGGTTTGCTTAGTACTCAGAAATTGCCTCAGGTTACGGATTCATGCATGTCCAATATAAATTATTTAATTACTGACCTAAGTATTTTGATTACTTCTTTAAAATACAATGGTTTTGTAAACTGTACATAACAAATCTATTAGATCTGGAGATCTAGCAGGCCAATTTATTGGTTTTAAAAAAACAATCATTTTTTGGGCTTAAAGGAGAAAAATATTTTAGTAACCAGTATTTTTTCGCAAAAATTCGTACAAATGACAAAAGTCAAAATTATTATTAATGTTACGTCTTATCAAATGGAAGCTGTCAAAAGTTTAATGTCAACAGCTGTATTAATTATTTCTACTGTATTGTTATAAAATTTTATATTCAAATTCATTCAAGTGGAAATTATTAGACCTAATTATTGATTACGTCAGAATACTGACAATGCATTAAAATGTATCCGAATATATGCAACCCAAACACACATGGAGTCATGACCTATTTATGTTACTGTGAGAACTCTAGAAAATTGTACCTTATGAAGTATATATAGACTAGGTCGAAAATAAAATTGAGAAAATATTTTATAAATTGTGAAGTTACACATAATATTTAAGGATTTCTTGTTTTCTTAGTACATAACAAAGAGGTTCTAGATTGTTTGGGGATTTCCCAGGAATTTATCATCCTATTTTTCGCATCTTTACGGAAGCGTAGAAGGGCCAATAACTTTTATTTTATTATTTTTCTGACTTATAACTCGAAAAAATCAATTTGTTTGACTTACAACTCGGAAAAATAAATTATTCCGATTTGCAACTCGGAAAAATCGATTTTTCCGAGTTGTAAGTCGGAATAATCTCTTTTTCCGAGTTCAAAGTCAGAATAATCGATTTTTTCGAGTAATAAGTCAGAAAAATCGATTTTCCGGGTTGTAAGTCATACTAATCGTTTTTCCGAGTTGTAAGTCAGAAAAATTGTTTTTTTTTTGAGTGTAAGTCGGAATAATCTATTTTTTCGAGTTGTATGTCTGAAAAATCTATTTTTCCAAGTTCTAAGTCAGAATAATCGATTTTTCTGAGTAATAAGTCAGAAAAATCGATTTTTTTTTTGAGTTGTAAGTCGGAATAATCGATTTCTTCGAGTTGTAAGTCGGAATATTCGATTTCTTCGAGTTGTATGTCAAAAAAATCTAGTTTTACAAGCTCTTAGTCGAAATAATCTATTTTTCCGAGTTGTAAGTCGGAATAACCTGTTTTTTCGAGTTCCAAGTCAGTATAATCTATTTTTTCGAGTTGAAACTCAGAAAAATCGATTTTTTTGAGTTATAAGTCAGAAATATCGATTTTTCCGAGTTGTAAGTCAGAATAATCGATTTTTTCGAGTTGTATGTTAGAAAAATCTAGTTTTACAAGCTCTAAGTCGGAATAATCTATTTTTCCCAGTTGTAAGTCGGAAAAATCTGTTTTTCCGAATTCCAAATCAGAATAATCTATTTTTTCGAGTTGAATATCAGAAAAATCGATTTTTTCGAGTTGTACGTCAGAATAATCTATTTTTTACAAGTTCTAAGACAGAATAATTGATTTTTCCGAGTAATTAGTGAAAAAAATCAATATTTTCGAGTTGTAAGTCGGAATAATCGAATTTTTCGAGTTGTATGTTAGAAAAATCTAGTTTTACAAGCTCTACGTCGGAATAATCTATTTTTCCCAGTTGTAAGTCGGAAAAATCTGTTTTTCCGATTTCCAAATCAGAATAATCTATTTTTTCGAGTTGAATATCAGAAAAATCGATTTTTTCGAGTTGTACGTCAGAATAATCTATTTTTTACAAGTTCTAAGACAGAATAATTGATTTTTCCGAGTAATTAGTCAAAAAAAATCAATATTTTCGAGTTGTAAGTCGGAATAATCGAATTTTTCGAGTTGTATGTTAGAAAAATCTAGTTTTACAAGCTCTAAGTCGGAATAATCTATTTTTCCCAGTTGTAAGTCGGAAAAATCTGTTTTTCCGAATTCCAAATCAGAATAATCTATTTTTTCGAGTTGAATATCAGAAAAATCGATTTTTTCGAGTTGTACGTCAGAATAATCTATTTTTTACAAGTTCTTAGACAGAATAATTGATTTTTCCGAGTAATTAGTCAGAAAAATCAATATTTTCGAGTTGTAAGTCGGAGTAATCGAATTTTTCGAGTTGTACGTCAGAATAATCTATTTTTTCCAAGTTCTAAGACAGAATAATTGATTTTTCCGAGTAATTAGTCAGAAAAATCAATATTTTCGAGTTGTAAGTCGGAGTAATCGAATTTTTCGAGTTGTACGTCAGAAAAATCTAGTTTTCCAAGCTATAAGTCGGAATAATCTATTATTCCGAGTTGTAAGTCGGAATACTCCGTTTTTCTGAGTTCCAAGTCAGAATAAACTATTTTTCCGAGTTGAAAATCAGAAAAATCGTTTTCTCCGAGTTATAGTAAAAAAAAAAAAATAAAAAAAAATTAGTAGGTAGTCATTCTATGCTTTCGTAGATACAAGTTTTCGGAACTTTTAAAACCGATTCTCTCCATAGCTTTGTTTGTGTTGTAACGTTTATTGAAAACTTAATACACCACGACGACCTGGGGAAGTTTTCCCAGACGATGCTGTTCAGTAGTTTGTTGAGGAATTGAAAATTTTCTCTAAATGAGGTTGGATTCGAAATATTCACAATTGGTAGTAAGCAGCTATGTCCTTGATAGCTCAGTTGGTAAGAGCAGTATGTGTAGAACACTGATAGGTGGGTTCGAATCCGCCCGTCCACAAATTTTTTTAATTTTTCATTAAATTGTTTTCAAGGGGGTTCTAAATGAATTTTATTATTATTAGGTATCTTAAATCTGAAAAAAAACAAAATACTATTTAAAAATAAAAGAAACAGTCCATTTGTCAATAGATTATTCCGAGGCAAACCACCTCAAAAAATAAAAAAAAAGTCAAGTTGAAGATCGCTTTATCAGATTACAAGCGTTACGCGACCGCACATTATCAGCACCAGCACTTGCTCAACGATTAAATGACATCCATAGAAACACTGTTTCCACTTATACCGTTCGTAGACGCTTAGATGAATGTATACTATGGTTCGGAATACCTGTCACAGGACCTCTATTAACTGCATATCATCAGAGACAACGATTATAGTTTGCTCGCGAACATCTTAATTGGGGTATTGAAGAATGAGGTGCGGTACTCTACATCAAGATTCAATAGATACTCATTAGATAGACGTTCTAGGATTTAGAGAAGAGCTGGTGAACGATATCATCAATGTTGTTTTATTCCTAGAGGTTAATTTGGTGGAGGTGGAATAATGGTGTAGGCAGGCATTTCCATAGAGGCTCATACAGAACTTGTAACAATTCGAGAGGGCTATTTAACAGCTGAAAAATATATTCAACAATGTTTTGAAGATCATGTAGTACCATGTACCCCATTTGTTATAGAAAATTTTTGTTTGATGCAAGATAATGC